TACCTTCTCTAAACCTATAAAAAATATCCAAATAAACATGTTGGAACTCAGGTCTGGTGTTTTAAAAATAGTAAGTGAAATGCAACGTGCTAAAGAGTCTAAAATTTTTTTATACCATATATGACTCGTGACGGCTTTGCTCTGGGTTCACCATTGTGATCTTCAAGGTTGGGGTCTATTTTGTATAATTAGGTATTCTAATTTTTTTTTATTTCTCAGAAATAGAAAGAAAATAATATTACCTTCTGTTTATTGTATATAATACAAATGATAACTATGCTTGATTTGTGGTAATACCTTATCCTCAATTTTTGAAAATTAATTATGCTTTGGATCTTTATAGAAATTAGAATTTAATCGAAAAGAGAAATGTATACTGACATTACTGATGAGCCTTCAGGTTTTATACAAGAAAGTAAAGCTAAATCTCAATCTCTTTTTGTAGAGTTTTTGGTAGACAATTTTTTTGTAAAACCTTCAAACCATTCTCCCCCAGTCAGTTTATTAAATCCGACTCTTTGTCTAGATGGTTTGAATACACTTGTTCCGTCAATAGCGCAACGAGTAGGTAATCTTTGCCATGAATTGAGTCTGCTTCCAGAACGTTGTGTTCAAATTGGCCCTTCGTTTAAAATAATAACCAAACCTATAAAAATTATCGCAAGCTTAGCCTATTTGACGCATCTAGTCGTTTTTGCAAATACAAGTATAGAAATTGGACCCTCTTTATTTGATAAGTGGCTTGGACTTTGTGTGGGTAAGCATGAAGAAATGCTTTCAAAGAATTGGTTGGTTGCTCAAGTGTACCTAAAGAAATTACCTAAAGCGGAAACTGTTTTGGTTAATATATTAAAGTCTCTCAATACAGACATTTTTGAGAGATCTTTTATAAGAATCGCCAACGAGCACATACAAATCTGCTCTCCGAACCTAAGGTCTTCGTTTCAAAGAAATTTTATCTTTGCATCGTTCCAAACAACATTATCTTCCCTTTGTTCGCTTAGTTCAGCTATTTCATTTTCATTCGAGAAATCATTAGAACTATTCGAGGGGTCTTTTTTAGTTTCTAGAATAATTCTTTCTAACCTTCAACGGACTGACTTTTCTTCTACCAAGATTGTTGAAGTAGGTGGAGGACTTTTTTTCCTTGAATATTTCTTTACATGCACATCTTCTGAGCTTAGTGGGGTTTGTTTTTTTCTGGCACTTAAGCATATATGCAACAATCTTTTTAACAGTATCTACTGGTCCACTGAGGTTGTTATTAGTTCGTCTGATGTCATGTCGATGCTTTATTTTGATGTTTTAACGTACTTTTGCAATTACTCCGTTAGAAAGAAAAGAACCCTAAAACTTCTAGATGCGTTGTCATTTTTTCTTTTTGGTAATAGCAGCATTTGCCTTAATAATGCTTCAAATAGTAGTTCATCATATTTAAAAGATCCAGTAAACTATGCACGACGCTCTTATTTGAATAAAGTTATGGTAAAATCATGTACAACAGTGTACCACAGCACTCCAACTAGTTATGAGAATGAGCCAAATCTAAATCCGAATATTATATTACCATTAGAATTCGACAAGTGTGACTTCCACTCTTTTAATGATGAATATATACTGAATAGTGCAGTTGAACTTTTTTCTAGCATCTACGATGCTTCTGATTTCAATAAAAAAAAATGCTTATGATAACAATGGAATTCGGGATAGAGAACTGGAAAAGAATATATCTTATGATTTTCCAGTTAATGGAGTAGAGTTAGCAATACCTACGAGTGAAAATGATGATGATATTGACTTTTATTTTAGAAGCTGTTCTGAATTCAATAAAATGAAGCGTGTCTTTTATGCTTTGACTGAGTAAAGTATTATTTCTCAATAATTTTATCCATAAATTATTTTTCCTTTAAAAAAACTATAGTTTATTCACTCTTCTATACATGCAAGTTTTGTTCATACTCTTTTTTGCTAAAAATAATTCAAATATTTTAAAGTAAAAAATATTTATATTTAATTAATAATAATAGTAATTAGGATACTTATTGATGTTTTCTTAATGTCGTATTTTCCTCATTTATCTTTAATTTTCACATTCTAGTTATTTTTATTTCCATTAAAGGCAAAGGTATCAATGCATAGATGTCGTATATTTTTTTTACAATTGACAGCGCTTGCCAAAGCTCAAGTCATACAAGGATCTAACTCTTCCGACTTTGGAAATATAAAGGGATTTTATTCATCTCTATCGTATGATTATGAATTTAAGGTAGTCGAAGTTCCGTCTATGACTACTCAACTGTTACCATTTCAGAAAGAAGGTGTAGGGTGGATGGCTCACAGAGAAATTAATCATGTAGGTGGAATTATGGCAGATCATCTAGGAATGGGAAAGACAATACAAATGATTGCACTTTGTTTGGTTTCTGACAATGTCAATCGACTTGTTGTTACAAGTAAAATGAAGCGACTCATTATTGAGTCAGAAGGATATCGATTACTCACCATAGTTCGTCAACTTCAAAATATTAGCATAATCGCAAACTGTACCAAATTGAATCGCCCCGCAGATGATTTGAACAATATTTCTTTGAAAATTGAAAATGCGATCTCAGACAAATCCAAACACTGTACTTTTTCTAAATTAAGGAATGAGGTGGATAAGTGGCTCGATTTCACTGCAAAATTTCATCCTTCTTACCAAAAAAGAGCTACGTCTTTCCTGAATGACGAAGAAAACCGTGATTTTGAAAGCATTCAATCAAAAGAGTTTCGTACTCTTGTAGTGGTCCCTGCATCCCTCATGCTTCAGTGGCAGACTGAAATTGAGTCAAAGGTAGACCCATCCCGTGGAATTAAAGTATACTTGTATCACGGTGATAATAAATGGATAACCAGTACAGAACTGGAAACATATGATTTTGTAATTACAACGTATGATACATTAACATACTCAGCGCAGAATGCTTTTATACCAGGGGAATATTCAAAAACCTTTGGATTTAATCGAAAAGAGGCTGGACCTCTATTTCATATTCATTGGAAGAGAGTCATTTTGGATGAGGCTCATATGATTCGGCATAGTAAAACCTTTCGTTGGAGAGCAATTAGGGAACTTTGTGGTGTTCACCGATGGGTAGTTACCGCAACACCTCTACACAACACAATACAAGATTTACAAAATCTTCTCCATTTTGTAGGACTATCTAAACTCCCCCTGTTGCCCGGATCTAATACCGAGGATCTTCTTAATGATCCGATTCTCCAGCGCAGCATCGCGCGCTCGCTTCAGCCAGCTTTTTTACGTCGAGGCCCCGTTATGATTCGGAACGGCGTCCGGGAAGTTCTTGTGCAGCTCCCACCTAAGTCTGAGGTTGTTATAAAACAACCTTTTACTATGAGAGAATCCCAGATGTACAATAGTATTTTAGCACGCTCAAGAAGTGCGTTATCTGCTTCAGAATATAAAGAGGGCTCATTTCACATCTTTGCGATGATGACTAAGTTAAGACAGGTGTGTTGCCACCCCTGGATCAGCCAAGGAAAAGTATTACAGGTTTTTGTTTGCGGATTGTGTAACACAGAAGCAACTGGAGCTGTCATAACAAAATGTGGACACCATTTTTGTTATGAATGTCTTATGATTCGATTTCGCGAGGTGGTAGATAGTGACGATATTGCCAATCGCCTACCATGTCCCACATGTGGAGCAGTTGTTTTGTACGATTCAGTTTTTAAAAGGGTTACCCAAAGCTCATCTGATCGAATTGCCCGATACAGAAGATCAGACTTCGAACTGAGCACCAAACTTGATATGATACTCAAAGCATATCGAAATATGAGGTCAAATTTCCCAGACGATAAAATGATTATCTTCTCGCATTTCACATCCTTCATGGATGTCATCGCCGTGGCTTTGGAGCGCTTCGAGATTGAATTTATGAGAATCGATGGTACCATGACTCTTACCAATCGAAATATTACCATTCGAGGATTTCAAACAAACCCAAACGTGAAGTTAATTCTCGCAAGCAAAACTGCTACAGGGGTAGGTCTTAACTTGACAGCCGCTAATCATGTGCTGGTGGTTGATCCATGGTGGAATCCCGCTATTGAGGAGCAGGCGGTGCATCGCTGCTATCGTATTGGTCAAAAAAAGCCAGTTTATGTGTCTCGTTTTATTATATCGGACACCATCGAACAGTACTGCTACGAAATTTGTCAGAAGAAGAAAGAATTTGGCGACGCCATATTGAGAGCCGCAACTTCAGGGGATTCAGGTGCCAAGCTTGCAGCCTCAAAACTTCAAGAGCTCGTTGCGCGATTGAAATTCGTTGACGGACAAAATTCTACAACCACTGATAATATTACAAATGAAAAAATAAACGCACCATCCGAGGAGAAAATACCTGGCGAAGACTATTCTGAAGGCGCTTTAATTACAAAGATTTAATACATCTGCTCATACTATGCCTATAGCTATGATTTTATGCCTTTATTAGGAATGTTGTAGCAAGGTGATATTTTTTCAAGGAGTTTTTTTTCTCTTCATACACTTCTCGTGTGCGGATTGAAGCATGCTATATGCAAAAAAAAAAAGTGAAGCCACTTACAACCTGGAACAATATCTTTCTTTCACACTTTTTTTTAATACTATTTTATCTTTGTATGTTTCTTATTATTTACCAAAGAATTACAAGACTCAATACATTTACTAGCTTGCACTTTCCTTTTAACAAAAAAAAATCATCACTATTTATCATCTATAAGCTAAAATCAAAAGGCGGAAACTGTTATCTATTCATTCTGCTCTGATTATCTATCCTGAAATCAAGAGTCAAACATTACCTGGTCTTTTAAGACTCCCGCACAGCTATTTTCACTCTTCAACGTCAATTCAATTGGAATTATACACACCATTGTCAAATGAAACATTATTGATGTTCATTGAAAGCAAAAAGCACATTGAAGTAAAGCATCAAAACGCTTTTATTCACATAAATAATCCTCAAAAAAAAAGCCCTCGAGAAATATTTAAATCAACAACAACGAAGGTTCATTAGAAAATTGTTATTTCATCCTAATTAGGAATAGTGGTGCTCAATTATCCTTTGATAAAGCAGAAATTTGAAAATTTTACACTATAGTAAGCATCATTAACAGAAGATAATATACTTTTTTTTATCTTTGATCAATCCTGTTCTCATCTATGTCTAAGCTATGTGTTTATATCTCAAAAAAAAAATGTAGTACAAACTACTTCCTTTCCTTACTTCATTTTATTATCTCTTTTATTTTTCTTTCCTTATACAAATATGAAATGATCTGTATTCGATAATTTATTTCTTAATATTGGTTGCTGATTCTTTGCTCTTTTACACACGCAAAAGTAAAAAAAAGTAATTTCTGAACAATTTTGCAGACCTTGCAGAACCAATACCACAGTAAAATTAATAAATAGGAGCTTGCCACAATGACGATATCAAAGGAAAATAATGATGGTGCCCATTTCTATTCTACTCGTACTGTTGATGCCTTGAAAAATCAAGACTCCATGCTCAAGTTTCTCGAAGGACGCGCACGGGAGGGATTCACTACTAGTGCATACTGGGGCGCAAACGGTGAAGTACCCCCTCGTGAACCAGATGATGTTGTTAACCGCAACACATTTCGCTTTACGGACGAACTAAAACGAAAGCTCGTTCCCTTTCCAAAGGAGCAAACCAGTATTTCTCGAATGCTAGATTACACATTGAAAGGCTTTCATATCACTTCGAAACCGGATGGATCCTTTCTTGAGCCGGATAAGCTGATGAATGATACTCAACTACAAATACTTAAGGAGGGGGATGCAAATGTGGAAGAAGGGCCTGATGGTTTTAGACTGAAACCACGATTGTTAAACACCGTTTCAACTGCACATCGGCTTCACTCTGGTTTTAGTGGTGATGTCATGGCTGCTCTCCATGATGGCCTAAATCGAGAAGATGAACTTCAGAAAAGACTTTCAGAGCTTAAAAGAAAGCCTTGTGAGTCAACAGACCCTGATGGCTATAGGCTTACTTCAGAGGATTATTGTGATATGTCGAAAATTGACCCTTCTTCTTATCGAGTAATGGAAAATAAACCTGAAAATCCTGACATCAAAATGGAAGTTTATCGCAGTCGGTACAATAATGTGGAACGTGAGGGCCCTAAGCGACGCGAACATTCCCTCCAGGTTATACAAAATGGGCGAAATGTCAATAATAATACTCTTCGCAGCACGTTTTCTAGAAAAATGGAAGACGATCTACCCCGGGGCTATTCCCCTTATTCCGCCAAAGAGTGGATAAGTACTACGCATCGTGAGCATGCCACCTACGACCCTGCTAAGGCGTCGGAGATGAACAATCCAAACGCCACATTTCCTCTGCGCAACACTAATTATAGTCTATCAGATGACTTTCAGAAGTCTTTAACGCAGAAGTGGGAGCGGTTTGATCGTCGCCACGATGGGGCGTTCGCAACGGAGTCCTCGGATAACTATCAGAACCGTTTCAATCAGTCTGAGGTCATAAAGGGTCATGGAGTCAAAAAGGTGTTTGATATCAAAAATGGGGTTTATACCATTAACCATGTATACCATCATCCTCGCAACGATGTGATGACAAACGAGAAGTACACGCCTGCCGAAATAGTCCCGGGTCAGTACTTGTCAATGTCAAAAGAACCGCTTCACGCGCGGAATACCGTAGGTAGAACTAAAATCTAAACAAGAAATACTTGGCTGTGTTTATAAATATGCCTTGAGTTCTTGATACGTGTAGATTACATGTAAATTGTATATCTTTTTTCCCTTCTAAGGAAGGGAAAGCATGCATGCCGGTATAAATATGTAGATATCTTTTTATCTAGTCATACTCAAACAAATTCTTCATACACGGTGTCGGTAGCTTCAATAGCCTTATCCTTTATATATATATAAAGGAGCCGAGTAATGTGTGTCCCCATTATATTAACCTTTTTTCATCTCATGATGTTACTTTGTCGACGTTCTGACGAGCTGTCTAAAATTATATATATATATATATATCCCTCCCAACCTTTTCCATCTCCCCCGACTCAGCCTTACTTTCCCATTGTGTGGAGCAAATTGCCCGATATCATGTTCGTCCTTACCCCGCTGCGTTGGCGGAAGTCGATCCAGTCCTACCCGGTCCCGCCCAAGACGCGCCTATACAGCCGGCGCTGGAGCACCTCGCGGACGAACCACTACGGCCGCGCGTACTGGCGTGGCCTGATGAACGAGAACCACGCCAGGCCCTCCTTCTGGGTTTCCGACTTCCGCCATCGCTACCTGGTCCGGACGGGGACGGACTTCCAGGGCAGGGTCCCCGCTTCCCCCTCCCCGGGCACCTACCAGGGCTTCCACGACGTGCATAAAATCCTCGCGAACCACCCAAAGCCGCCGCGCGCGTCCCGGCACCTCCCGGTGATGCCGATGACCCCTCGCGTCGTATACGAGCACGCCCAGGAGAAGCGAATCGACTTTGCGAAGAAGATCCGCCGCGATCGAAATCGCATGGAGGAGCTCAAGCAGACGGAGTTCTGGGGGTGGTATACGAAACTTCAGCGCGTGCGCGGTCGATGGTGCCGCGAACAGGAGATATCCAGTCGAGGCGTCTATGGACCTGCTGTAGATGCGGCTGATTTGTGGGGGTGAGCGCAGTCTGCCTAGACTTTTTTAGAAAACTTATCAGGGGGAGGGGAGAGGAGTGTTTCCTGTGTCTTGCCACTTTATCGATGTTGATGATAGTTTGGGAAAGTAACCTGGATTTTAGGAATTTTTTACTCTTGTTAGTTTTTCATAGGGGCGTGTTAATAATATGCGACATCCACAAATGCATATATAGGAACGTCAAATTTCTGGTTTACTGTCTCTTTAGCTAATAATGTTATTGGATACACCAACTATACACTATTTCTTTTCTATCATTATATCCTTAGTGCAAAAGTTACGAAGGTTGTGGAATTTAAGAAGAACCAACCCCATATAAATAAAAAAGAACTACTAGCAACGCCAAGTGATCGTTGAAAATGGCAAAAAAAGAAAGAAATGGGAAGCGTTCACGAGATAAAACTAGGAGCATGGTGGAGGATCTCGATCTGGATGTCAGTGATGTTGAGAACATAGATCAGTACAATGATGAAGACATTGTACATAATAGAGGGAAAAGAAAGACATCATCCCGGAATGTTGACGATGAAGACACCATCCACGCTGTGATGCCGTCCGATGCACACCGCTTGGAAGGCTTGGGTGATGATGAGCATGGTGGCTATCTCGAAGAGGAGGAACTGGCAAAGGCAACGGAGAGAAGCATGCGCAAAAAGGCTGCGGAAGAAGATTTTTCAATACCCGGTCTGTCTTTGACCTTGACTTCGAAGGCTGCAAGTCGGGATAAGAAAACTGCGGCAAAAAGTGATGTACTCGATGCGATACCGGCGGTTGAAGCGGTGGAGCGTGATTTTGCTTTGCTTACTACTAGTGAACGTTTGAGAATTCTAAAAAATGAGTCTCCTGAATTGCTCAAGATGCTCGACGATTTGAAAAAGTACCTTTCCGACATCCGAGAGCTTGCCAAACCGCTTCACGAGTTGTTGTATGAGCGAAAAGTCTCCGAAGCGGATAAAAAATTCGTGACCTTTCTCGAAACCAAGGTTCAGCTAATGCTGAGCTATTGCATGCACGTCAGCTTTTACCTCCTGCTCAAATCGGAGGGCAAAAAAGTCGCGGGCCATCCCGTCATCGACAACTTGGTCGAAATTCGAGTCTACCTGGAGAAGCTGTGGCCCATGGAGGAGAAGCTGCAGTACTCGTTGAATCGCCTGCTGAGCGGCAAAACCGCGTCCACGGTCCACGTGGACGAGCTCCGGCCCTTGCCAGGCCATGACGGCGGCGTCTACGCCCCCGCGCGCGGCGTGCGGGAAGCCGAGGCCCGCGACCACCGGCGCCAGCTGAGGGATGCCCAGGACGCGGCGGACCTGGAGAAGGAGGAATTGGCGGCCATGACCCGCGTGCGCACCAAAAAGGCCACCTTCCTCAACAATCTCCAGCCCAGCTCCAAGGTGGCCCCGCTGACCTACCAAGAGGAGGCGGACCAGTATTTCACTAAACTCCACAACAACTCCGACGACGAGAAGGACGCCGGGCTGTCCCTCATGGAGGCGCTTCGGAGGCGCCAGCAGGGCGCGAAGGAGGCGGAGGGGACGAGCCGACCCCTCGACGAACGCGAAACCGACAATCCCACCGACGAGGAGGAAGGGCCGTCGGACGAGGACGACATGCTCGAGCTGGATGGTGAATCGGATGAAATGGGCGAGGCGGACAATGACTTGGACGACGAGGCGGACTATGAGGCATTTTTTGAGGAGGAAAAGGAGCGGGAGCGCGATCGCGCGGCGGCGGCGGCGGCACCCCGCGCGAAGCTCCACACTAAAGAGCTGGACCGCCGGAAAGCCGGCAAAAAGATTGAGTCCCACCGTGGACTCACCAAGGCCCGCCCGAAGGATCGCAAGACGCCGAGGGTGGCTCAGCGCCGCAAGTATGAGCGCGGGCTGCGCGTCCAGAAGGCCCAGGCCCCGAACTACCAACCCGAGCCAGAGAAAGGCTTCGTTGGGGTGCGCTCGATTAAACCAGGTGTGGTTCGCGGGCGTAAACTACAATAGGAAACGAATTAGGGAGTGTTTTTTTCCCTCCTTCTGAAGGTGCTGGTGTGCCTTTTTCTCACCCTTTTTTTGGAAAGGCCTCAAACATTTTCCGAGGCATTTTGTTTCCAATTAAAGGTAACCGTTAATTAAATGTTAAAAGTCGATTATCATTCGTTAAGCGACAATATAAACTGAAGACTATCTAATCGGATAAAATTGATTTACACGAAATGAAAGGTTCATTCTTCGTGATACGCTATTTTAATTTAAAAAAACTTACAAGGCTATAGAGAGTGAATTTTCTGAAAAAAATTATCATGTGAAATTGATCAAATTTCATTACTATTTTGTTTTCTTTACTCTAAATTTCTATACCGGCACATGTCATTGCAAGAAACCCAGTTCCTCTGTTCTTAGTCGTGAAGTCTCGCCTCGGTGAGTCTTGAAGTAAATTGGGCTAACTTGCAGTGTGCTAATTGTTGAAGAGACAACATAAATATATACAAATATACAAATAGAATTATCTATTCTCTACAAAAGCATGTCTTGTCAGCATGATCACAAGAACGACGTCACCGTTCGTATAGTTAATATTTTAGCCGAAGAGCGCGGTCGCATTTCTCTCCATAGACACCCTTTTCACACCCTCTACCTTTTTATACGCTACCTTAGCTCCTGGGTGAGGCAAGTCCTAAGCTATTTATTGAGGAACCCGCTATTGTACTATATTTATATTCCCCTCATTGCCGGTTTCCTGGGGTTCTCTTTATATGGGTGCCCCTCCTTCACGGAGCATATTTTCACGGTTCTAGATACCGAACATCACGGACAAATAACCGGAGAAAACCTAGAGCGATACTATTCACACATTTTGGGATGGAAGCCCGGTGCCGGCCACCAAGCCGCTTTCACATTTCCGAACGGTGTAAAGGCGCTCACAGCACCACAATTCGAACGATGGTGGCGTCAGACGAAAGATTTATATCGCCAAGATGTGTATTTCAGCCACGGATGGTGGCGGGAGGTGGAATATTATGTGGTGGATGTACTTTATTGGGTGGTTCTCGGGGTTTTATCCTCCGCGGGGTTCGGCACGGGCATGCATTCGGGGCTTTTATTTCTATTTCCACACATCTATCTGACGCGTGCGGCCGGGACTCGGTGCGGGAATACGCAGTTTTGGAATTATCCGGTCAACCCCTTGTATGGGCCCCGTGAGCGGGTATTCCTCTGCATTTCCCCCAATATCGACGCTACCGACGGATTAGCGCCATCAATCCTCGACTGCGTGCGCAAGGTGCTGCCGGCCTGCGTGGCTTGGGGGTTCGGTACGGCACTCGGCGAGTTGCCACCCTATGCCCTGAGCTATGCCGCCGCCAAACAAGGACGAAAACAACACGAACTCGAGCAGGTATTCTCCTATAATATACTAAACTACATGAAGGACTGGACGCTGCGCAATATCAAGCGATATGGGTTCTTTGCCGTGCTTTTACTCTCGGCGTGGCCAAATATGGCGTTCGACCTGTGCGGTATGGCCTGCGGGCAATTTTTGATGCCCTTTTGGACATTCTTCATTGCCACTGTTATTGGGAAGGCTTTGATTAAGGTAACCCTCCAGTCTGTGTTTTTCGTAACCCTTTTTTCGGGTCATAACGTAGAGAATTTTATTTTTTGGTTAGGCGACAAAGTGTCAAGCATGCTTCCTGCGAGAATTCATGTAAATGAGTTAGTGAATAAAACCGTTGGTACCGTCGTGAAAGCTCGCGAGAGCATTGCAAGTCGTGCCATAGGCAACCTGACTTTGGAGGATAGAACCTCCACTACAGAAGAATCACCCATTCTTATGCTTTTTAACTTTGTGATGATATTGGCTGTCGGGTTATTTACGAAGTCGATTGTTGAGTCATTTGCGGTTTTGGTACAGGAGAAGGATGATAAAAAAATTTTAGATATAGTCAGAGATCTACTAAAGGGAGAGTTTTCCACAAGGAAATCCTCCAACTTCAGCGACAAAGAACTGCAGTGCCTTCTATATGACGCTAAAAAGCGAGCATACTCTAATAGGCACAAGCCTCATGCCCCAGACTTGAAGAATTCAAAAGTGTCGTATCCATCGCCATTTAAAGCTCTTTCTTTCAATTTTAGCGTGCCTCTGGGTATTAAAATTTCCATCTTGTTGTTGGTATTTGTCTGGAGCTTCGTATCCGGCAATGAAGTCGCGTCCATGTTGGGCACTTTATTGCTGTTCCACACGTTCCTATGGTGTAAATTTTTTACCAACCATGTCAGCAAGTGGGTTCTTTACCCCGTTCGTGCGTTGACGGTTATTGCAGTAATATATATATGCATCTTGTGAACATTATTAATGAAACCATTGTTTTCATTTAATTTCATATCGATGTGGATTTAATTTAAAAAATATAATACACATTTTTTTTTATCTAGAGCATAAATAGTGTGCATTGGATGAGTTAAATAATTTGCAAGGTTCAAACAATAAGTTACTGATTCTTATGTTTGCCTAGTTAATTGTTAAACTCGATTCTTTTCTACATATTTTCGTCCAATTGAAAGGCCTTTTCCCAGCAAATCTCCTGCCGTTAGGTGGAATCCCTTTGAGCAATAATAAGAACAAAAAAAGGGTCCACTACTAATAATAAAAAAGTGAAGGAATGGATTGCCAAACCCTATTGGATGGGCTCGCAAAGGAGCGGGGGCTCTCTCTGACGCCTCTGGCCCGCATGGGCAAGTACCCACGTTCGCGCAAAATAGAGTGCTGTGGGGGGCTTGTCGTGCGGGTTGAGTGCGAAGGCTCCGCCGACTCGACGGTGTGCATTCAAGACGGCAGTGGCCTCTGCTTTTGTGCGATTCACGGCGATATCACGAGCCGCTACCCCGACGTCCTCTCAACAGGGGCGGTGCTGCTTTTTCAGGATATTACGTTATTGCTGACGGGGGGGAAAATGCCTCCGGTGTTGATCGCGTGTATGGAAAATCTCGTGGGGTTGCTGCTTCCGGACGCCTCGGAGCCGCCCCTGGCGCGGGAACCCACCACCGATCGGGACGGCATCAACACCACCCCTCGCGATCAAATGGGCGAGGCCGTCTTCGAGGATTCGGGACGTATAACCTATCCCTCGACGATAACTTGCTCTCCTATAGAAAGCAGAAAAATAGCGCAGGGGAAGGAACCAGAACGTCTAATTCCTACCAATGACTCGAGGCAAATCGATTTATTGGATCGACATCACGATGCTATGGATGCCGATGATGACGAGAATTGCTTGGAGCTAGTCGATGACTTGTAAGATGAAAAGGCAAAATAACAATAGAATCATTTTTCATATATTATCACAATGTTCTTTCGGTGAGGTCGATATAATCAGTATACAATATGCTAGCTTTTTTTTTCATCTGACTGACGAAATTAAGCCATAATAATGAACTTGGTTTACTGCTACATATTTTTTAGTGTGTCTTATTTAATTTCTAATCTCTCTAGAATTTAAACAGTTTGTATTGGATTTTATTTCAAAATTTGCGCTTCAATTTTTTTCCTCACCTATGCTGATATACATTAAAACTGGCTTTTTTTTTATATGTTACAATTATAATAATAAAGGAATACTACTTCAATCCACAACAAAGTGAAGTCAGATCATAATTTAAATATTCTCAGATTTATTTGTGGGGGGTTCCAGCAGTTTCACAAGCTGTGTTATTCCCGCACACATTAGCAAAACGGAGGTACCACTACTCGATTGGGATCGGTATCGGTGTTTGCGGTAGTTCATGCGGTCCTCCTCCGTCCACCACCCCGCGACGAAGCGGCATCGCCTCGAGAGGGGTCAGGCGGACGGCACGCCCTTCCCGACCGATGCCGTGGCGGCCGCGCACGTGGACGAGGACCCGGTCCACCACGCCCCCGCTGCCGATCGACTGATCATCCTCAATGTAGGCGGGACCATCGTGACCACCCTGGACTCCACCCTCCGCGGGTGCTCCTCAAACTTCACGGGATGGCTCGAGAACGACTTCCGCGACTTTCCGCGGGATCAACACGGCCGGCCCTTTCTCGACCGCGACGCCAACAATCTTCGCCATATCCTCAACTACATGCGCGGCTACGGCCTGCCTGCCAAGGCCGACGACGTCGTGATGTTGGCCGAGGACGCCGTCTTCTTCGACATACCGGCCCTCAAGGAAGAGATCGGACTGAACAGCACGCCATCCTGGCATTTCTCCCCCGGCCCCGGCGTCGACGACGACGGCACGCACTTCTCCACGGCGGATATTCTGGGGCTGTGCGGGATGCGCCCTTTGACCCTCCGCCATACCCACACCCTGGGCTTTCGCGTCGACAAATGCGAGCTTATCTCGATCGGCCTCATCGCGATGACGAACGTGCGGATGGATCAGCAGATCTTTCGCCAACGCCAGTCCGTCTCCTACTCCAGTACGGGGGAGATGGTGAGTTTTTGGGGGGATGAGCCGCTCTACGACTCGGGAACGCCGTTTAAGGCCGCCGATCTGATTACCGTTCAGGCCCAACTTTTGCATCCCCCACGCCCGAATGACGCGTTGCCTTTGCTTGTTAATAAACGCCCCGGCCGGACGCCTTTTATCGACATCCCGAGCAGCTCTTTAAGCACCACGACGGTGATCGATCGGGTCTCGCCGAGTCGGGGACCTATTCATCCCGAGGACGACAACGTTTTTCTGCCCGAAAATCGACTCCACCTCGGGCGAACTGAGGCCTCCTCGATGGAGAGCGTCGAGGCCTACACGACGCATGCCGGGCAAAGCACCCCGACAGATCTATCGCAATGTCTAAGCAATACACTCATAGGCGCGATTATAACCTTCAAAGTACGCAATAATGATACATTTGAGGTGCGCTGGCCGGCTCCGGTACCCCCACTTCAGTTCGCCGTCAGCATGCAAGGGAATTCATCGGTTTCGATTGTCAGCTCGAAAACGCATTCGAATAACGCGAATGAAATGGCCGAATGTGAGAGTATCCGGCCCTCCTCACGTTTAGGGCCTGAAACTCATGCGGTACTGGGTGAGGGAACTGCGTAGACTCTTTTCAGGGAACTTTAAAAGAAAAAAGAAAGGAAAGGTATATAGACGTGAAGATTGAAACACAATGCTAGAAATATTAGAGGAATCATTCAAATTGATAACTAACAGACGCTCAAGAAGTTAAGAAAATCAGTTTTGGGATCTTCACTTATTTTCCTTCCCCTCACTCATTTTTTGATGCGAATATCATTTTGAACCGAAGAGATCTACCATTTTCTTTTTTTTTTGTATACACCACAGCGCATGTTTCATTTCTTTGTTTGCCATTTGGTTACGTGATAAGTGTGGATGATATTTGTCGTTTACTACAGCTTCCCTCTATTTCATTAAAATCCCATTAGTTTTTCTTTTTTTTGTGTTGTTTTGGGAGTCAAGGTCTTTTTTTTTTTTGACCTATAGTGAGTGCAAAAAAGTTATTGTATAATTTCAAATATAATTCAATATTTACTTTATCTTGTAAATCATAATCTAAATATACTTATTTGGATTATTATATTGCAATGTCACTGGATGTCGATGCGATCATCGAGAAACTCTTGGAGGTGCGGGGCACCAAACCCGGAAAGCAAGTTCAGCTAGAGGAGAACGATGTTAAGAATCTTGCCCTTAAAAGTCGCGAGATCCTCTTAGCACAGCCCCCCCTTCTCGAACTAGAGGCCCCTGTGAAAATATGCGGGGATATTCACGGGCAGTACTATGACCTCATCCGTCTTTTTGAGAGTGGTGGCTTTCCACCCACGGCGAATTATCTTTTCCTCGGGGACTACGTCGATCGCGGCAAGCAAGGCTTGGAGACGATTTGCCTAGTTCTGGCGTTTAAGGTGAAGTTCCCGGAGAACTTTTTCATCCTGCGTGGGAATCACGAATGCGCGAGTATTAATCGGATTTACGGCTTTTTTGACGAGTGCAAGCGGCGGTTTAACATCCGACTTTGGAAGGCCTTTACCGATACGTTTAATTGCCTTCCCGTGGCCTGCATTATTGACGACAAGATCTTCTGCTGCCATGGCGGGCTGAGCCCGGAGCTGCAGACGATGGAGCAGATCAAAAAGATCGCGCGGCCGTGCGATGTAGCCGATACCGGGCTCATCTGCGATTTATTGTGGTCCGACCCCGAGGAAGGCTTGAGTGGTTGGGGCGAAAATGATAGAGGGGTGTCGTTTACCTTTGGCCAAGATATAGTAGAAAAATTTTTACGCCGGCATGACTTCGATTTGATCTGCCGTGCTCATCAGGTCGTGGAGGATGGCTATCAGTTTTTTGCAAAGCGCCAGCTCATTACCATTTTCTCTGCCCCAAATTACTGTAATGAGTTTGATAACAGTGGAGCCGTAATGTCTGTGGATAGTGAACTCATGTGCTCTTTTCAGATACTAAAGCCTGCCGTAAAAAAGCCAAAATTTTATCAACAATGATTAGCTAAATAAATGCAGATGATTGTAGCGATGAATATTCAGGTTGGCTGTTTCTATTCCTGGGAGATTATGCAATTGATCATGTAGATTCATCTCAAGGTGACTAGGATGCTTTCTAGAGCACCTGGTGACAACCAATTTGGATAGTTTTCTTTTTTTTACGTCTACCATCTGCTTTGAAGCGATATTTCCTCATATGAAGAAGGAAAAAAACTGAAATGGGAGAGAAGGGAAGGCTGAATGGTAGGATCGATGTTTACAGATGTGAGTAGGTGGTATTTTTTGATCCTGTCCGTTTGTTTTTATTTGTCTGATCGATTCTTGATTCTAGATTGGCTTATAGTGCAATTTTCTTCACCAGATCAGTGTACTTTTAAGGAAGCCCATTTTAAGCACATTGACTAACATTGAGTCTTTTATGATCTGAGAATTAAATTGATATAACTTTGCAAACGGACACATGTGGGGAGTAAAAATCACTATTCTCATGGATTCGATCAGTTTCTCTTTCTTCATGACCGGAAAGCAAAAGCTGCTAAAGAGAGCAAATGAAGCATGATGTGTTCTTGGAATATAGTTATTGAAATATATATATATATACATATATATATATATATATTAAATTTAGTACATGACAAGCTAGTTTTTATTGTGATTAAGATGTTTATTGTGTCTTCAAATTACTTGATTAATGTTTCTCTGTTCCTTTTTATAGTATTATGTGACTATATCCATTGATTGTGTCCAATATTTGAATGAATCATAATATAGAAAACCGTTTCCTGTTTGTCATACAATACTCTCTATTGGTCTACTTTTTTTTTTTTGATATGTACTATGAGTATGTTTAAGTGCACATCCGTTAACGCAACTTGGAACTTTCTATATACCAAAGGAAAGTAAAGGTCTATTTTGTATCTCAGGTGATGTCGAATCCGTTTTACTATGAATTGGAAAAGCAACAGCTGGAGGAGCCTCTGAATGATATCGAGGCCTTTCTTAACTGTGCACGGTACAACGACGACGGCGATATCAACCTCCTTCAGGACTATTTAGATCGAAATCCTGAGAATATTGACTCCCAGGATAACCAAGGTCGTACGGCAGTGCACATGGCCGCGGCGAATGACCATACGAAAATTCTCGAAGTTCTTTTCCAGTTTAACCCACGACCAGATTTGGCGAATATTGAGGGCAACACCGCACTGCACTTTTCTGCGCTTAACAACCGCGTCTCGGCGGCCAAACTACTCCTGAGAAAAGGATGGAAAGCGAACGTGACGAATATTTTTAACCGCACACCGCTCCATTTGATTCAGGGAAAGGGGTTTGAGGAGATGGAGACCGTTCTTTTAAGTCATGATCTTAGTCTAGAGGAGACGGGGAATGCGATAATTAGCACTGAAACCGAAGACGAATTTGATTTGCAATCTAATGAAATCCAAGAGCATAATGATAATGAAGAAGAAGAAGGCAATAGGGCTAGGAAATCGCAGACAGGAGAGAAGCTGAGTGGTGTGGGCTCGACTGCAGGCATGACAAGTTCACCTGGGCCAATTGATGTTTCAAAATTACCAGCACCCCCCCCCAATAGCAACTCATTTCTTGGATCCTCAAACGTGGATGAAGTTGAATAGCTGAAAAGGATATTGAAAAGTTGGAGACTTTAAGAGGGCTAGTATACCCCACCATACATATCTTATGTGTTCAATATTCCATAATGTCGGATACATATGAGTAAATTAAAAAAAAATGCATCAAGTTTTGTTAGAGATGTTTGATACTGCTCCAGATCATCTTACATTCTATAGTTTTTTGGCGCAGTTGATTTTCATCTTTCCCTGGAACTGGTTTTCTTCATTTCCTTGTAGAGACTTTAGATTCCCTTTGCTCTTTGAAAAGAGGAAAACAACCACACTAAATAACGGAGCCATCTAAACCTTCCATACGAATATACATTATTTATGTATTTAGCTAGGAATTTTTTAATTCATTTCGTTTCCTGGAGTTGGCAACATTAGTCATTTGCGAAGACAGCGTAGAACTTAATGGAGCCGAGGCGCTGGCGCCCTAAATTCTACAACCCTTTCACAGAAAGTGTACGACGTACCAAATACAAACCCTTGTACTGCGGCTTTTTCAGAAGCCTCCCGCTTCACGTCTGGGGGTTGACTGATATTTGCAAGATTCTCGGCTATGCAGCCCATAGGCCATCTCTTTTCGGGTTTCCCGACGAACCCACCTGCATTGTCAACACCGCGTATCTTATCCCCTCATATCGTAGTCTGAGCCGCGGTGTCTTGGCCTTTGGATTCGAGCGGGGCTGTAAGAATATTATCATCCCCGGATCCTGCAGTGGCGGCCCATTCGATGCGCTGGATGTGAAGTTGATTGAGCCGCTCTTTCGTTGGAACCCTGGAGTAAAGTACCTTTATCTATCGCAGCATTGCCAGCCCATGGCAATGCATTTGGTACCGCATCTCGCAAAATGTCACCAAATTCAGAAAATCACTCTTGAAGGTTGGAATGATGCCGTGGCGATTCATCGTGTTGTCATGGCTTGTAAACGGGTAGATGAACTTGAGACTTTCAGTCTTGACGATCTACCACGTAATTGGCAGAATGAGCTTTCTGTGCAAGCCCTCGTCACGTTAATTGAGATGCACCCGAAGCTGCGTGCGGTAAGATCGCACCGACTCTTTCTCGGTGATTGGAATGTCGCCACGCAGTTTTCTCGTTGCAAACACAACGTTGCTCTCGTGGTCTTTTCGTGCGATTACATCCTGCTTTATTATTTTTTTTTCCTTGCATTGCTCTGTGTGCCAGGGTACGCCATCTACCAAATCGTCTACTGGTGTTGTAAAAATCGACTAAGCGCAAATTATACCCAATTCTGGTCTGTGCTAGCATTTTTATTCACAATGATTCTTTTAGTCACTACCGACGCACTCATGCGGAGGTCCTGGGGGTGGGGCTGGGTACACCTGCAGAAGTATGTGATCTTAGCCAGGCGGCGTCTGGAAATCCTCAGGAGTTCTCGCCAGACCGCCCTTGTAAAGGTATGAGAGCCTGTTGTCGTGTTAGTCAAACGCGCTTTGGTGTCGGGAACGATGTGTCTTTCTCAGTCCTGTCCCTTCCCCAACTCCTTACCGTCCCTCTACATTTTTGAAAATACGGTTTACCACTTTTTTTTTTCTTCCCCCTCCCCCCAATCCCCATTACGAGTCATAACGACCCCACAAAACGAAAGATAATGCCCTCTGAGTATTACCCATGCACCCAAGGGTCCTGCCAATCCCAGGATTTCTCTCCGTTCCTATTCCCCCCCTCCCTCTCTTTACACGACTCTTGACATTTCAACAGGGTTTTATTTTTTTTTGTTGTTCCAAAGGTAAATCGACCAAAAGGGGTGGAGTAACCCCCGCTGCCGCCATGACCTCGATCCTGGAAACCGGCCACACAGCGCCGGTGGTGGGCCTCGCGGTGGATGCCGACGGGGAGCGCCTGGCCACGGCGGCCGAGGACGGCACCCTGCGCCTCTACGAGCGGGACCCCCCCCCCGAAGGCCCCCCCCGGCCTGGGCCGCTGGCGCTACACCCACAGCCTCCCCACGGCGGAGGACGG